TAAGTCACTAGGGAAGCCTATTATGGTTAACTGTTTGCTTACTTGTTTATCAATTCCTTGAGACTAAATGTTATGTTATTTCTCTCCTTTTCTCCAAACCAGTTAGCCAACTGTCTTATAATGATAGAAATAAGTTATGTTTATTGAACATCTTCTAGGCATTGTCTCAGTTAACCCTCACAAAACCATCTAGGTAAATACTTATGATTATTCTACATTTTTAAGAAATGCTGAAACTGAGATTTGGAGAGATGTTTGAGGTCATTTCCTTAGTAAAGGCTGAGCAAGAACATCAGCACAGTATTACAGACTGAATGTTTGTGTCCCTCTAAAATTCAAATGTTGAAACCTCACCCCTAATGTGATGGTGTTTGGAGGTTGAGCCTTTGGGAGGTGACAGCGGAGCCCTCATGAATGGGATTAGTGCCCTCATGAAAGAGACCCCAGCTTTCTCGCCTCTTCCACCAAGTAGGACACAGCAAGAAAATCAGCCACCTGTGAACCCGGAAGTGAGCTCTCTCCAGACACTGAATTGATGGTGCCTTAATCCTGGACTTCCCAGCCTCCAGAGCTGTGACAAATAAGTTTTTATTATTTATACACCACCCAGTCTGTTGTATTTTGCCTCCAGTGACTGAGCTCTTAATCATGGTATCATAAAGACTCCCACATACAGTAGTTATTCTCAGCATATGTTTTAATGTTTCTTGAATGAAAATCAACCTATTAAAATGTTGATGGTGAAGATGAAGGCACTGGGTAAGTGGAGCCCTAAACTTGACAAGGGGAATCACTGAAATGTGAGCTTCAGAGTTTTAAAAGCTATCTGTGACTTCTGACCAGACAGCTTCATTTCTCACCAGTATCAGTTATTTTACCAAACCAAGTTTTCTCAAGTGAATATCCTCCTAGCAAAATACACTATCAAAAATATACTTGATAAGAGAACTCATATACACACATACTCACACACACACACACACACACACATACACTCACATACTTCCTATCTGACTTTAATTCCACACTATCATTAGGTCTTAGTCATCATTTCCTTATTCCCAAGGTTATGGTCAACTATAGTCAAAAAAGAAAGCGCCACTTCTTTTTTAGAGTCAGCATGCTCTTGCCTTCTGTTGATTATCCCCAAGGATTCAGTGGTCTGAAATAGTCATCAGATGATTTAGTTGTTGTAGGGAATGTGTAAGGTAGTTACTCAGTTCATTCAGAGTAAACACCTAAGTCCTTACACCGGCCCCAAAGTCTCCCATGATCTGCCCCTGCTTCCTTACCACTCTGACCTCATGGTCTAATTTTATAGGGCTTTGTGCAAGATCTGAGTTCCCTGACCAGGGATCAAACCTGTGCCCCCAGCAGTGGAAGCACAGAGTCCTAACCACTGGACCACCAGGGAAGTCCCCATATCCCTTTTGCAATATATGTATCTTTCCTTAGGTAAGCATCTATAATCAGTTCCACAGTGCTTACATTGAAATACGTAAGAGTTCATAATTAGGTAATGAAAAGGAAGAAACAAGACAACTAAAGCTTAGATTTCAAGGCAGGCCCAGCACTGGATACACGTAGGCGCTCAGTGGGAGTTTGCTGCTGACAAAATAGGCAGCGGTGACTATTGCTAGGCTGACTCAGATGGGAGCATTTCTCCATCTTCTATCCTGGTGGAGTTATTCATAACAGGTCACCTGGTAGATAAGAGGCTTCAAAATTAGATGTTCCCAGATGTTTTTCAACCAGAGACGTTTGTGTCTGAGGCTAATCTACTCTCAGAAGTTTTCCTGGAGACTTGCCTCTTTAAACAGTTCACTGAGCATTGACCTTACTGTCTGTGGCTTTGGCTGGAGCGAAAAGAACATGCCTAATCTTATGCTCTGTAAGTTGTATCATCTTACCAGTACTCAATATATTCTGGAATCATCTCTTAGAACAACATGGTTGTTTTTCAGCAAATATTAATAGCAGCTGTGTCTGCATCTCTTCTGAGTTTAAGGCTTTAGAGAAGCATAAAGCCATCATGATTATGAAGAATCATTTGGTGAGCCAGCAAAAAAGTATACACTGAGTATAGAAATGCTTCTTGAGTCCATGACACAGCCTGTTTGGGGCCAGGGTCAGAGGCATGATATATCCAGTGAAAAAAGGGTGACTGTATTCCCACCAAGAAATAACTACTGTGTCCTGATATCACAATGCTTGTTCAAAGTGGCCTTAGCTACCAAGAGTCGCCAAGTTTCTGGATGAGAAGAAAATTCCCGGGGGTCACTAAGGACATCTGTATCTTTTCTCCCCACCAGGACTCATGGCTTTAAAATGGGGGTGGAGAGTGGGAATCTAACCCAGTAATAAAAACAGCCAAGCAGCCGCTTTGAACCACATGATCCAGAGAGGATTAGGCCTCTAGCTTCAGTTCTACCATGTGACCTTGGACTAGTAATGTGACCTCTCTAGCCTTCAATTTCTTACTCGTAAGTGTGAACGAGGGGCTTCCCTGGCGGCTCACTGGTAAAGAATCCACCAGCTAATGCAGGAGATGCAGGTTTGATCCCTGGTCAGGAAGATGCTCTAGAGAAGGAAAATGCAACACACTCCAGTATTCTTGCCTGGAGAATCCCATGGACAGACGAGCCTGGTGGGCTATATAGAGTCCATGGGGTCACGAAAGATTCATACAAAACCTAGTAACTAAACAATAAGTGTGAGTGATTGTGTTTCATGGGTGTTCCACAAACTCTTGAAAATAAAATGAAGTGAAAGATGCAAAACTTCTTTATTGACTATAAAGTCCTGCACCAGTAATAAGGGTTCTTTTTAATCTTTTCTAATCATACAGTTAATATTTATTATTTAAAAATCCAAAGATCAAAAGTGCATGAAGTTTAAAAGAATCCTCTGACCCATTATTATTCCTCAGAATTGACTAATTTTGACAATTTGGTGCTTATCTTTTTTAAAAAAATATTTATTTTTGGCTGTGCTGGGTCTTCCTTGCTGTGTTGACTTTTCTCTAGTTGTGGTGAGTGGGGACTATTCTCTAATTGTGTTGTGTGGGCTTCTCATTGTGGTGACTTTTCCTGGTGTGAGGCTTGGGCTCTAGGGTGTGCGGGCTTCAGTAGTTATGGCTCCCAGGTTCTAGAGCACAGGCTCAATAGCCGTAGCGCATAGGATTAGTTGTTCTGCAGCACATGGAATCTTCTTGGATCAGGGATCAAGCCCATGTGTCCTGCATTGGCAGTCAGAGTCTCTACCACCAAGCCACCAAGGAAGCCCTGTGCTTATCTCTGTTTACTGTATGAATGTGTGCATGAGTGTGTATATTCTTTTCTAACAAAAAAGAAATCATTTCCTACTCCTCAGTAGAATACTATGCAGCAATTTTTCAGGAGATAAATTGCTATGTATATATACACATGGAACAATGATATTTTATGTGAAGAAGCTGCAGAATCCCATTTATAGTAAGAGATAATGCTCATGTACACACAAAATGCGCAGCTTTTTCTGAGAAGAACATATGGCAAAAGAATGAGGTAATTTCACTTTTTCTTTCACACAGTTCTCTATTATAATCATTTTTATCTTAAATGTATATACTTTCACAATAATATTAAAGACCATGCAAGAGAAAGTGGAACATAAGTCAATCAAATGGAGAGCATATGATACAATTGAATATAATATTATACATGAGTATAAATGATAGGCCAGGAAAAATATTGAAGAGAAGAATATACTGAAGAAATTTTAAAATGAAGTAAAAATGAAAGTAGACACATGACTTTCAAAATCATCCAGTAGGGAATAGAAAAAAAATGGATCGTGCAGTTTCTGTTGCCAACTTTCTTGCAATATATAACGCACATCAGAATATCCCGTTCTGTTGACCAGCGCTAAATAATCGCCCCTATGCTACAAGAGGCAAATGGAAGCAGAAGCAAGGCTCTGCCTAAAGAGGAAGAAGGGCTAAACATGAGCCATTCTTAATTACTTTGCTTTTTAAAAGCCAGGATTTTAAAGACCCAAACAATGTGTCGTCTGCACAAAAGTGAATTTGAAATTAACATCAGATACCTTAAAGAAAGGTATGATGTTCAATTGTTACTTTGCTGTTTTCACTACTAAATTGTTTTATTTGAAAGCAGCATTATAGCAAATAGGCTAGGGATAAAAATATTCTGATTTAGTTCCAGGGTCTCTTGATGAAAGTGAAAGAGGGGAGTGAAAAAGTTGGTTTAAAGCTCAACATTCAGAAAACTTAGATCATGGCATCCAGTCCCATCACTTCATGGCAAATATATGGAGCAACAGTGGAAACAGTGTCTGACTTTATTTTTCTGGGCTCCAAAATCATTTGCAGATGGTGAGTGCAGCCATGAAATTAAAAGACGCTTGCTCCTTGGAAGAAAAGCTGTGACCAACATAGGCACCATACTAAAAAGCAGAGACATTACTTTGCCGACAAAGGTCCGTCTAGTCAAGGCTATGGTTTTTCCAGTAGTCATGTATGGATGTGAGAGTTGGACTGTAAAGAAAGCTGAGCACCAAAGAATTGATGCTTTTGAACTGTGGTGTTGGAGAAGACTCTGGAGAGTCCCTTGGACTGCAAGGAGATCCAACCAGTCCATCCTAAAGATCATTGGAAGGACTGATGTTGAAGCTGAAACTCCAATACTTTGGCCACCTGATGCGAAGAGCTGACTCATTTGAAAAGACCCTGATGCTGGGAAACATTGAGAGCAAGAGGAGAAGGGGACGACAAAGGATGAGATGGTTGGATCGCATCACCGACTCTATGGACAGGAGTTTGGGTAAACTCCAGGAGTTGGTGATGGACAGGGAGGCCTGGCATGCTGCAGTTCATGGGGTCCCAAAGAGTTGGATACTACTGAGCAACTGATATGAACTGAACTGTCACACTAAGTGAACCATTTAACCTTGCTTACTTTTTAAATAAAATAATAGAGAGACAAAGTTCTAAATTTCTATTTTATTTAATATTCTATGTTTCCATAACTTGGAAGATCAAACAGAGGAGTCATAAACAATACCCAGATTTATTTTTTTTAAAGCAATCAATAATTCAGAAGAGCTTTCTTTTCCCATTCATTAACAAGGTCATAAGTCTGCAGTGCTGTTCATATCAGATGAATCTACAAAACCAAGAACAGGAACCATTGCATCTTCTTCAGAAGACGTGCTACATTGATTCTTCTGTTTTTTGTTCACATACTTGTGCAAAGTGCTGTAGTACTGCTCCTTTGTATTGAAAGTATATAGTGATGAAATCTGCTGCCAGGCTTTAATGCTCGGAGTGTTGTATTCCTGTGGCTGTGAGCACTCAAAGAAACATTTGACATTTTCTTTTGCCAGTTGCGTTGCATGTTCTGTGGCTTGACTTTTAAGAATCTGCTGCTCCTGTTGCAAGTAGATTTTCCAAAATTTCAGATGCAGGTAACTAACTGGAGACAGGCACCGACTGATTGATGTAAAAATCAGGAGGAGGATGATAACAACTGCTATCAGGACCCAGCCTAACACCTTAGGTAAACACAACAAAACGGCGATTTAGTCACTTTCTTAAAAAGAAATTTTTAAATCAACAGGTAAAGTTTGAACTACTCAGAGTTAAGATGATGAACAAGCAACAGTTAGGTCTTATTCCCTTAAGAGAAAGACGTGGCAGTAACCCCTCCCCCCACCCCTCAGTAGAACTGCTTGCTTGACAAGTTAGTCTTTTTCTCAGTCATATGTCAAGGATCCACAGAGGAGCTTATATGTGGAATCCCTGGAACTCAAAATGTGGAATTTCAGAAAATCCAGTGAAACAAGTATTCATTTCTAAGAACTTCTGAGCTTTACAAGCCCAGAAGCAGTGTGGGGTGATGGCTTTAAAGTCAGCCAGACCTGGACTCAATGTACCTGCTATAAAGACAAAAGAGAATAATAAGAGAGATAAAGGACCCAGCAAGGTGTCGGGTGTGGGACACAGAGCAGATGCCTGACACAATAGAGTGCCCGAGTGCCTTTCTCTTTTCATTAGTTATACTCATTTTTTATAAAAACCTATAATGGACTTCCTAGGTGGCTCAGATGGTAAAGCGTCTGCCTGCAATGTGGGAGACACGGGTTCGATCCCTGGGTCGGGAAGATCCCTTGGAGAAGGAAATGGCTACCCACTCCAGTACTCTTGCCTGGAAAATTCCATGGACGGAGGGGCCTGGTAGCCTACAGTCCATTGGGTCGCAAAGAGTCGGAAATGACAGAGCTATTTCTTCAGTTTAACTTTCATAAGGGAAGAGACTCTGAAGACACACACATATGTAAGACTGAAACTAACATAATATTGTAAGTGAACTACACCCCAATTAAAGTGGGAAAAAGAAAGAAATAGCACCGAGATGAAAGAGAGAGGGGAAGAGACGGAAGGAGGGAGGGAGGGGGTAGGGAGAGAGAGAGAGAAAGAAAGAAAGATAGATGATGTGCTGTGGTAAGTCATTTCAGTGGAGTCTGACTCTTTGCGACCCTATGGAACCCGCCAGGTTCCTCTGTCCATGGGATTCTCCGGGTAAGACGGTAAAAGAGGGTTGCCATTTCCTTCTCCAGGGATGGAACCCTCATCTCTTAGGTCTCCTGCATTGGCACTTTCCCACTAGCGCCACCTGGGAAGCCCTGGGAAGATAGATGATAGATTTGCCCATTGGCTCATTTGAAGCCAACAGCCATTCTAGTTAGCTTGCCTTCGGCGTCAGGAGCAAGGGCGCGCATTTCCACCTCCCCGGCCGCCCCGCAGAAGCCAGTCCCTCTCCGACCCCCCGCCCCGCATCCTGCGCGGGCGCCGGACCTGCGAGTGGGCCGTGAGCTCCTTCTGCAGCTCCTTCTGCAGCTCCTTCACGTCGGGCGCCTGGGCCTGCTGGCAGGGCACCAGCGGCAGCTGGGCGGCGCAGCGCGGGTCGCGGCCCTGGCACAGGTGCCGCGCCAGGACCTCGCTCCCGCTGGCGGCGCACTCGTAGAAGGCGCCCCCGAGCAGCGCCACGGCCACCCAGGTGAGCGGCGCCACCGCGGCCGTGGCGCTGATCTGCGCGAAGACCAGGGCCCCGCGCAGCCCCGCGCCGCGGCCCCGCGCGCAGCAGCCGGTCAGCAGGCGCCAGGTGCGCGCGCTCAGCACGTAGCCCAGCAGGAAGAGCGCCAGCGCCGGCACCAGCAGGAAGACCAGGCCGTAGGGCAGGTTCCAGGCGGCGCTGCACGGGCATCGGAACACCGCGGTGGAGAAGATGCGCTCCCCGCCCGCCGTCAGCAGGCTCACCAGGCCGTAGCCCAGAGCGCTGCGGTGTTTGAGGTGCAGGTCCAACACCTCCCGAAACTTCTCCATGGTTCTCCTACCCCAGGGCGCTGTGGACCAGGCCCGGCCGCTTCTCCCTCTTCGCCGCCCAGCTCCTCAAATGATTTGGGGGGATCTGGGGTTTTCCCGTGCCCCGCCAAGTAGCCCCTTCCAAAAAAGGGAAGAGGGTTTCTCAGGATTTCCTGAGCTTTCACTTTCTTATTTCAACCCAACTAATTGTGGCAGATCCAAGCACAGACGCCATCGACCTCCCCAGTGCCCACCCCTTTCCAGAAGCAGGCACATTGGTGACCTTTATCCCTCAATTGAGGAACTCTGACTGAGGGAAGATAGGGCCTGTTCCACTGTAGCTTTTGTTTACTCCAAACTGACAAGGATCCAGGGACTTTCCTTTCCCTTAACCCTTAATGATCTGGGGGACCCTGCGGTCCCCCGATGGAAAGCAAAATTTTTACTTGAGTAAACGGGAAAACACCAGCTTTTCCTCTATTGCAGCCACCCTGGCTCCTGAACCAACTCCCAATCAGACCAAGCAATTACCAGCAACAACAACAAACCCCCTGCAAGCCTCGATCATTTACAGAAAACATTATTCAAAGGCAAATTTCCAGTTTCTCTTACATAAACTGAATCGCAACAAAGCCCGGCTCAAATTCCAGTATATCCATGATATTCTGTCCCCTTCTTGTCCCCCTTCTGAACAGAACTGCCACTTTTCTCTCCTCTACCTGACCTCCTGCAGGACATTAGCCTGAATATATTGGATTGACTTCTGCCTCTTTTTCTCCCCACTCAGGTATGTCCTATGTACATAGAAGTGTATCAAATCCTTCCTCAGGGGCCACCAAATTGATCAGCAGAGGAGAGGGTACTGGCTGTTAAAAAAACATTGCTACTACTGCTAAGTCACTTCAGTCATGTCCGACTCTGCGACCCCATCCCTGGGATTCTCCAGGCAAGAACCCTGGAGTGGGTTGCCATTTCCTTCTCTAATGCATAAAAGTGAAAGTGAAGTCGCTCAGTCATGGCCCACTCTTCGCAACCCCATGGACTGCAGCCCACCAGGCTCCTCCGTCCATGGGATTTTCCAGGCAAGAGTACTGGAGTGGGGTGCAAAACACTAGTTGAACCAAAAACACTTCAAAGGGCAACTACCTCGATCTAACATGTTTCCTCCACTTTCAGTTTTCTCAGAGCAGCATTCCTCTGACAAGCTAAAAGCATTTCTGTGAAACAGCCTTACTCTATGCGGCTCTAGAGTGAGGTGAGGCATACTTGAAAGAACATGGGTTTTGAAGCTAGGTGCATTTTGTGTGTGTGTGTGTGTGTGTGTGTGTGTGTGTGTGTGTGTGTTTAATATGTTATCTTCTCTAAGATTCACCATACTCATTTGTAAAAGCAGAATATAGTGCTGACAGTGTGAGATTGTTGAGACAAGTGAGTAGCATCCATAGAGTGCTTTGATACACAGGTTATGCCTATTAATGCCTGTTCAGTGTAAGAGATTACCTTTTGCATTGCAACTTTAGGAAGAGGCAACAAATAGCTGTGTAGTATTTAAGAATCCAAATGAATGCTCCATTTTAGACCAAGGATTGTATTCAGTGACTGCCTTCAGAAAATTGGTGTGCCCTTAGTTGTCCATTTCACCTCAAGGAGTGTGCATGGATGTAGAGTCTGGGTGGGCAGGTCAGAGTGAACTGGTTGCTGCTCAAGCCCGTCCACTAGGTTTGCCTTATTTTTTTCTGGGAAGAATAAGTAGCCTACAGAGCCGAGTGAATTGTTGCCGAGGAGGCAGGAAACACCCTATTCTTAGTCCAACTTGCCTTTTTAGCTATCTCCCACCACCAGTGCCTGGCACAAAACCACCATTCCCCAGCATTGTGATGAAAAGCTATTCCCCCTGTGTGAGTGTTAAGAAGCTGTCCCCAGATGTCCTTTGTGTCATGCCGGGCAGATGGGGCCTCTTCTCTGAGGTTAGACCAGGTACTACCAGGTTCCATGTAAACTTGCACCTAAGTTGCCTGTTTGTGGCAAATCACTTCTGCTATGACTAGCATCTCTGTAATCCCACATCTGCAGAAAAGCTTCCTTCCCTTATCCTTTGGGTTACTCAATACTCCTCTTACTGGCGGAGTCTTCACCACCACCACACTCCTCTGAGATGTTCTCTCCCCTTCCACAATTTTCACATACCGTCATGAACAAATACCACTCTGTCAACACTTTTGTGTAGATGGCTTTATCCATATCCCTCTTAATAGCAACTGAACTAAAACATACCCTCCCATTCTCTTGAATGAGATATATTTATTTCCCCACATTTCTCAAAACAAGAGGGAGGGCTGGCATTCTCCCATTACTACATCCAAACCTGGGTTTTTCCACCATGTCTAATATTCTTTATAGAAGTCTTATTCTCCATCAAGACTCAATCTATTTAGCATGACCTCTTCCATCACCTCAGTCCTGCTGTCTGTTTTCATTCCCTTCATTTACTAAGACTTTTGCATCTGGAGACAGCCTTCCTCTTCTTACCAGTTCCTGTCAAAGATTTGGTTTCAAATATTTCAAAAATAGTTATAGAAACTTTTATCTTGTCAGTTCCCTATTTCAAGTCGAGTAATTCATTAACCAATGTATGAATTAGTTCATTTGCTGATGCAATCACTCATTTAAATACTTAAAAGCACCCCGTATATGCTAGTACCTGTAAAAGTAGCTGTATTATTGAACACAACAAGGAGCAAGACGAACAGATACCCTGCTTTCGCTGAGCTTGTGTTCTAGTGGAGAGGATGTAGGTAATTAGGGGGAGAGTCCTCAAGTGATGCAGGTAATTAAAATGGAATCATGTGCTGCAGAGTGTCCTGAGAAAGCCTCTATGGGGAGAGGACATTTAAGCAGAAATGGGAATGCCAGAGGCTCTGTATGTAAAGGAGCTTAGTATTCTGTGGTTAGAAACAGTCAGAGTGATGAGGGCACAGAGGCTGAGAAGGAAGGCGGCACATCACCAGGGCAGAGCTGCAGGTGGAAGGTCATTTAGAGGCTCAGGGGACCAGAGTATGCAGTTTACAATCCTGCCCTGAAACTTACAGACTGACCTGCATTTTCACCTATTATCCTGTCAGATTGTGTCTCTAGACACCACCTCCTGGGGTTGCCACCCCTGTGCTCCCTCATTCACAGATCTCCCAGGTAAGATGATCATTCTGTACTTATTACAAGTTTCCATAACTGTTAGCTCAGTTGGTAAAGAATCTGCCTGCCATGTAGGAGACCCGGGTTCGATTCCTAGGTCAGGAAGATCTGCTGGAGAAAGGATGGGCTACCCACTCCAGTATTCTTGGGTTTCCCTTGTGGCTCAGCTGGTAAAGAATCCGCCTACAGTGCAGGAGACCTGGGTTCGATCCCCGGGTTAGGAAGATCCCCTGGAGAAGGGAAAGGCTACCCACTCCAGTATTCTGGCCTAGAGAATTCCATGGACTGTATAGTCCATAGGGTTGCAAACAGTCAGACATGACTGAGCGACTTGCACTTTCATAACTATTAGAGTCCAGCTATTGCCTGCCAGTCTGAATTTCCTCCCAGCCCCTGCATTTGAGTCTAGTACCCAGACATGCACCCCACCACCTCTGCAAAAGTGGATATTTCTAGTTCTGGGTCTATTGAAGATTGTCCAGCCCTTTATACCCAGCTCTATTCTGAGAGGACATTGCTTAGAAGTTCAGCCCTTAGTGCAAGTAGAGTAAATAGTAATTCAAGAAGATGCAAGAATTTTCTCTAAGACTACACTGAATAATATCTGAAAGACCTTTGTTGTTGTTGTTGTGTGTACTCAGTTGTGTCCAACTCTTTGTGACCCTGTAGACTGTAGCCTGCCAGGCTCCTCTGTCCATGGGATTTCTCAGGCAAGAATATTGGAGTGGGTTGCCATTTCCTCCTCCAGGGGATCTTCCCAGTCCAGGGATCAAACCCATATCTCCTGAGTCTCCTTCATTGGCAGGTGGATTCTTTACCACTGAACCACTTGGGAAGCCATGAAAGACCTTTATAGTTTTGAAAATCTATAATTTAGCACCAATTTATTTAACTTTTAAGAAAATGAGTGAGAGATTCTCATGTTAAACACAGTGAAAAACCAGTGGTTATGAGTTTTGTTCTGTTTTGTTAACTAGTACTTTGTGTCTCAGCACTATCATTACCAGTGTCAAAAATGGATTTCAGAGACCACAAAACATTTCTCAGAAGGGAAAGCAAAAGAAACTCTTGAAAGGAAATGCACATTCACACTGTGCATCTGAAAGTTCTTTGCAGTTATCCTCAAGTGAGCTGGATCTCAAACATTATTCTCTGCAGTGCTCATGAGAACTTATACTGATTGTATGCTCCTGCTTGGAATACAACTGCTTGATTCCAGCAAAGTGTCAGTCCTGGCCACAAGACCCACAAGAGTAAGATCAAATTAAGGTCTGCAATGTACAAGATACAACTTTAGATGCCAAAATGACAAGTAGGGGCTTCCCTGGTGGCTCAGTGGTAAAGAATCCGCCTGCCAATGCAGAAGACATGGGTTCGATCCCTGTTCCAGGAAGATCCCACTTTCCACGGAGCGGCTAAGCCCGTGTACCACGACTGCTGAGCCTGCACCCTAGAGCCTGGGAACCACAGCTACTGAAGCCTGCACACCCTAGAGCCTGTGCTCAGCAACAAGAGAAACCACTGCAGTGAGAACCACAACTAGAGAAAAGTCCACACAGCAAAAAAGACCCCACACAGCCAAAAATACATAAATAAATGAACTTATTTTTAAAAACCAAAATAACAAGTCAATTTAGAAAGTCTGACATTCTTAGAGTATACATTTCTGCATGTGGATATATTTTTATGTTAAAAAATATATTTGAAAATTTGGGATGTGTTATTATATGATTTTTGAATGTCTATTACAGTTCTTCCTCTGGAAGTTATGAAGCAGAAAGAAGGAAAGATCAGACCTCTTCTTTAGTACAGGACTGTCATTTGTTAAGTAGCAATCCCATGTCATTTCAAATACCTTTTAATGGATAGTTTCCCCTTTTCTTAACATGAATTTCCTAAACCTATTACAAAATTTTAAGTACTCTGTGATCCCCCCAATTTTTTTTCTTATGGCAGATGATTATCTTATTTCTGAGGACCTAGATATAGCCAGTCTTTGTTG